ATATGTATACATATATAATATATATATATATATATATATATATATATATATATATATATATATATATATATATATATATATGTATACATATGTACATATATATATATATATATATATATATATATATATATATATATATATATATATATATATGTATTATTAAATCTTTGATATTCTGATATTTACTGTTTTGTTTTTTCATACAGGTGCTACATATCCAGGATAATTCAAAAATTAGAGTACGAAATGTTTACCTTAAATCAAGATGAACGCCTCAGAAGTCACCAGTTTAAACTTAAAAAAAGAGAATTTTTCTACAAGATCAAGATAGAACTTTCTACCAAATAGAGTTTTCTAGAGCTGGAATAACCTTAGTGATAACATTGTATCGGCCCCTTCTACCAACATGTTTAAAAATAGACTGGATCGTTTTCTATTATAGTTGCAAATTGTTTGTATATATTATATATATATATATATATATATATATATATATATATATATTACAAGTGATTTCAATTAAAAAATAATTTATAAACACGTAGAAATTATCAGGTATAGTGGTCTCTATTAAAAATCTTTGTTTTTTCTAAAGAATATTTCGCTATTTATTTTCTAGCTTCATCAGGAGTACAATGTAAAACCATTACAAAAATGGCGTACAAATACATTTAAAAAACACTTACAGAAATTAAAAATTTCACATATAAAAATTGACATTGAAGTATGTAATAAATGTCATGATTAAATTTTCTTAGGCACGTTAGTCACAGTAATATAATTAAAAACTTAAAATGACTTTGGGAGTAAACACAAAAATAGCAATAAAAGAAACGTTAGAAGAATGATATTTCTTTGATGAATTATTAAGGTTAGTTGTTATTAAGGTGAATATTAACTATTTCCAATATTTATAAATTTTGTTCAATATATAGGGAACATATATAGACACATGTGGGAAGTTGACTTCCCACATGTGTCTAGTTTCTATTTTCTAGGTACCAAATGTTGAAGAAACATAAAAAGCCTTATATTAAAATCTCTATTTCACAACACTACTGCACACATGTATAGTTGGTTGCCTGACTATAACCAGATAATTTTCTTTCCACAGTTCATCTTATATACATAATTTTTAAAACAACAATATTGATGGTTGATACTGTTATATTAATTTATTTTACTTTAACAATTTTAAATAACGTTGACTTTTGTCTTAAGTAGACACATACAGTTATATTGACTGCTCTGTTATGACTTCCGTCCTAACTTGTCAACATTGTCATTTCAATCAGTTACTTCCATAAAGTCCTCGTAGACACACCGTCTCAGCACTAACAACTTCAAGTGGAGTCATATGTCGCCATGTTACCTAATCCAACGGTAACTTTAGCAGGTGGAGAAATTTTATTAAACATCTTAATATTTTATAAGAAATAATGTAAACCAAATGTAACTAATTATTTGTTAACTGGTTTTTACCCATGTATTTAGTGGCTACGTTCATGTACACTTTGCATTAACCTTGGTTAAAATTTAAACTTCATGTTCTTTTTAATTAAGTGGTTATACAATTTTTTGGGACACTGATGACGGAATATGGATTCCGAAAACGTTTTGTCTAACATAGCCCGTTTGGGTTTTTAAATATATACCTTTTACAAACATATGGTATACAGCCAACTACAGGAATGTAGATTCCTTGTGGATTTTTGTGGTATCTACTGGTAGGTCACTTATGTAGTTTCTTTGTGTTTGATTATAATAGGGAGCTATCTCTCTGCCCTTGCTTATGTGTAATAATAATAAATTGTGTGATAACAGTAGTAGAAAACTAGTTCTTGAATTCAAATTGTTTAAAAAAAAATAAAATAAAAATATTGTTTAAAATTCTTATAAAAATTTTTAACATCAATATAATAAAGTCCTTTCATTTTTCTAATTTTTATTCGAGGGCTCGATATAACATCATATTGTGAGCTAGCTTTTGTACCAGCTTTATACATAGGATGAGGGTCTCAAACTTTAAGGTCTATATCGACAATCGCCTGTTGAGTTAGTCATTGTTGACAGTTGCAACAGCTAAAAAGTAGTAGGTACTTTCAACTGTTTAACATATCTCACGACTTTGACACTAGAAAAGATAATTTTAACTATAATATCCCTTATCGTAGGCTCGCATTACTGGAAAAAGGATCTTTGCATGCAGATATAACAATTCTTTAATCACCTACCTATACACAATTACTAATTTTATTAATTGTACATGGAAGTAACATATCTAAATGTATATAAACTTATGTAAGTGCACTTGCTTATTGTTGTTTATTACTTGAATGTAAATGTTATAATTTTAAAACCATATCATTAACTGGTTTTGTACATTTTTTGTAATAAATTTTATTATTATTATTAAAGTGTACTTGAAAAGTACTAAAAATGAAAGTAATTTTATTTCAAATAACTATTATTAACATAACTTAATGCTTATTCCCAAACTAAACAGTAAATAGTAAAAATACAGTTGGAATTAATTTGAATCCGGACCTGCCCGTCGCCATATTGGAGAGTGCATATCGTCAAAATAAGTGGTCCCATTTAGTAAATACAGAAATATCCTTTGTGTCATATCCCTCCTTACATATCTCTGGTTGGATATGAAATTCAGCGCTCCATAAGATTAGTATCGGAACTAATTCAAGCGAGAAATTACGCGGAAATTCAAATTTTAATTTTGGTGGGAAAATTTAAATAAAGTTTAAAATTTTTAATTATAATTTGGTATATTTGAAAAAAAAATGCATGACATTTTTAATTTCAAATATACACAATACAATTTAGGAAAAATAAAACAAAATGTAATTTATTTATTTATTTAATACTTGTAAAAAACTTTGTAATTTAATATATAATAAAAATATGCTATTATCACTGAAAATTGTACAATTTTATGGAAAAAGCTTACAAAAAAGTCAGAAAAATAGCAATTTAAAATTTACTGAAATTACATAAATCGTCAATATCACAAAATAAAAAATAATAAAATACACAATGTATTGCAAAATTTAAATAAATTGCATAATAAATCCTTACGAACTAATACATTTTAATACAAGTTTCTGCATGTGATACTCAAATATATATTTATACAAATTGTTTAGTTACTTGTACATAACACTTTTCGTTAAGAAACTCTTCTACTGAATAATATGATCTTTCAGATAGATAGGATTTTGTTCTTTTACGGAACTCAAGGAAAGAAGTTGCAGATTTAAGTTCATCAATCAGTTATTTGTTCTATATCAAATATTTATTGGACTCACCATACAAATGTAAGCTAGGAATTGCATTTTTATACAATTTATGACTCCATGAAGAAACAAACTTATCTTCAAAGTGTCTGTGGCAGATTCGTTTTGTTTTATAAACTGTACTAGCATTCATCATATCTAAATTAGGATTATTTATAACACTAAGCCACTTCCTAAATCGTGTAATGTCTTCATCAGGATTTGGAAAGGTATGTCTAATTAATGACGAATTAGTACATTGTAGGATACAACATTTATTGTGAAAAACCATATTTAACTGATTATTATTAATCTGTAAAATACTATTTGAACACCGCCAGGAACATTTAAAACATAGATCACTGAGGTAGGTGATTTGTAATTTACAAACTAACAAAATCAAAATATAGACGCTAATATGACAATTGGCGATTGACAATTATAATTCTTTTCTTAGTTGTGTTCTAAACCTAAACTGCAGAGTAAAAGTAGAGACAGAGTAAAGCGACATCTGAAGATTAGTATCGGTACTACAAATGACATTAAGTTTAGTTTGACCTTGAGCTACCTACGTGAAACGTCTAGTTATTTAGTGGTCTGTGGTGTAGTTTTCGAAGCGAAATATTATTTTGTAGTGTTTGAACATGACTACAGAAAAGAGAATTGCATCAGGTAAATTCAGAATTTTAAAGAATATAGATATTTTATTAAATAATTTATATTTATAGGATTTTTTAAATTCAAATTAAACCTAAATTAGAATTGAGAAAAGAAGAAAGCTATCCTTAAACATTTTTATGCCAGAACATTGGACAGATTTAATAACAAAAACTTCCAGAAAAAGTATATACCATGGAACAAAATGACTTTCTTGACTTTGACTACCTTTATAGGATCATGTGTGATCCAAAAAAAGACATGGAAAAGCGACCAATAAAATGGCGGGAAATCGTATGGTTTGAGTACAGACACGAACACTTTTTATTCCTTATTTTCCATACAACGAGGCATCCAAATAATGGCCTTGCTTTCCAATCTGCAGGGTGTTCATTACTTAACTTAGGTAGACCAAATTTATCTCTGGAAAATTTAAACCAACCCTCTATAGAGCCGTTTTGGAAATTCCATATGCTAAATGGGAAAATCTTATTCAGCTGTTGCCTTTTATTCCCCCAGTTTATCATACCTTTTACCAAAATATGGCCCATCAACCCAAAAAGAATAAAAATTCAACAAAAAGTAAGCCAACGACGGAAACTCAAACGGAAGAAAATGTCCAAGAAGAAAATAATGATCTTGACATGTATTCTGACTATGACAATTATTATTTTTTTATGTTTACTATTGCAATAAAATTTTCTTATTAGGAAAATCATCGTTTTCTAAAAAAAATCTAAAAAAGATTAGAACCAAAGAGGTTTTTTCCTTAAAAACCATATACGAAATGTCTTTACAGATTTTACAATAACGAACATAACGGCACTTAGATCCTTTTGGTTCCTACCCCTTCATTTAAAGCAAAAAGACTGATGATTCATCTCCTGTTGTCCTTTGTCAAATTACATCTTTCATGATAATTGGTTTCGTTCTGCAGTTTTCTCTTTTTTCTTCTTCTTGAAATATATCTTGATACTTCACTAATTCAAAAAAATGATTCCAGTTCCAACCATCAAGGGAGTCAGAAACGACAGGAAAAAAAAGGATCACTTTAGATAAAACAATTTTATTGGTAACCAAACAATATATTTTAGCTTTTTTATAAAACATTGCATTAGACTAAAAACAATACTACATAACAATAAATAGAAAACTGTTAAACGTTATTGCAAACATTTTTAGAGGCAAAATTGTTAAAAAAATTTCATCACGTGAAATACGTGTGGTACGAATTTTTTAGTGGTATTTATTCTATTCTATTATATACTTGTATAGCAGGTGTGGTACGATTTTTTTAGTGGTGTTTCTTCTAGTTTTTCTATATTATCAAAATACCATTAAAACCAAACAAAAATGCTAAAACCGACTGACGGGGAAATATTCCACTTTCAACTTAGTTAAACGAGATACAGAGAGAAATCAAACATGGCAAATAAAACACGTGGCAGAAATATGTTTTCAATAAGTTTTGTCGCTTGATAAAAGATGGCGCTACTAAGTTCGTCATTTTATTTTTCTAAAGATGGTACTCCTGTTGGATGAACACATAAAACAAATGACAGCTTTGTTTACGTTTTTCAACTCATTCATATGTTTACACTGAAGTGGCACAGTATATTTTTACAATGGAAAAAACAAACATCGTGCAGAAATAGTTTTTTTTTGGAAAAGGTGCAGTCCAATATATAAGGTTATGTCTGACTCGAAATAAGGAACGAAATGGAAACTAGACTGGTAGAATTCTGTTAGTAGTTTACTATAGTGCCAAACACCATTTTTTAACTTTTGTTCCCGTAGATTGTAGACATGGAAAATAAGTGCGACTAGCATAATAAACATTATTAAAAATTATATTACATATATACTGACCAATAAAAGATACTCATCAAATCATCCCATCAAATCAACAAATGGTGCAATTATGCATCATTTTATGAGTATTATTAAAACTACATCTACTACTATCTTCCTAAATCAAACTAACGAGTGTTGTCAACCGCTACTTCGGATGCGAGGTAAACTAGAGTCCAGATTTCGACCAAGCAAGAATGGGACACCAATTTTTTGGTATCCCAAATGCACTTTAATAACCTCTAGTTGGTAGAGCAATAAAGTCAAAGTATTATTTTGTAAGATTTTTGACTATCTGAATATAATGTTCGTGGTTTGCACATTTTTCACCAAGATAACACACCGTAACGCAAATCTAAAAAACCATCACGAAAATAATGAAAGAAATTGTTATATTCGCCAGATTTAGTTCCGTCTGACTTCTTCTGTACTTACCGATTCAAAAAACTCATTTGAAGGAAGTGGAAAACGATTTTCACTGAACGAAGTCCCACTTCATAGATGGAATATATTAACCAAAAGATTTTTGGGACAAGTGTATTAAAGTTCAGAGGGATTATATTGAATACCAACATGAATTACAAAATGTCTTAAGGAATTTCTTATGGAATGATAAGACTTGTTGAACAACCTACTAAAGATGAAAAAAGTGAGATTAGTCCAAGTGAAATCAATAAAGATAGAAGAGTTATTGCTACAGTTATGCACAAAATATACGTTATTTATTTCAAATATCCAATAGAAGATTACAAGATTATGAGGCTGTTCCACATGAAAATGATATCGTGTTAGTTTGAAACAAATTTAAACATTTTTGAACAGCATAAATAAAATCCAGTTTTGGTTAATATATTAGCCGGACAAGCTATTATGCCTCATATAGATAAGAATTTTTTTTATCCTACAGTAAATCATGTGGCTCTCACACAGTATTGGAATTGGAAACCAACGACGAGAGTAAAAACAAGATTGTGCTATATTTTTAGAGCCAAAAGTTTAATCACATGGAATTTACCTTGAAAATCTTGTTATCTCGTTGAAAAAACGAACAGTTCCTCGGTTGTTGCCTCGTATGCTTTGTAAAGGTCTTTTGCTATCTTGTGTCGAAGGATCCTGTGCTCTTAATACATCCATGAGTGTATTTGTGCTTTCTTCATAGATAGTCTTGAGAATGACTTTTTATTCTTAGATTAAAATGGAAACAATTTGTTGAAACAACAAATCAGCCGTAGAGTTTTTTGTGAAGTAAAAGGTAGGACAGGGTGCGAGCTGGAGTGCTCCCAGAGTGTAGACGACTCGATATGGAAGCCCGTCTGAGTCTAATAGCATAGCTTAAAAAGTTTTTGCTAAGATTATTGAACGAAAACGAGACGTGACTAGGTAAAAAAATAAATAATAAAATATCAAAAATCGCCGCTTTATTGCTTAGTCTACAATAATGTAAACATTTAGTAAAGATTGTCTACTTATGCCAAAAATATAGAAACCATTATAAACTTAACAAGAGTCCACTGATAGCCCTATATGAAAATGATTGAACCTGTGTAATCATGACATGATAACAGATGGTTTCTGTGCAGTATTATTCAATTGTCCTGGCATAACAATTGCGACAAGTTTTAACCACACAAAGGTTTACCGATCTTTGAGATGTAAGTATTTCGTTAAATGTTAAAGTTTCTAAGGGCCGTTGACTGTTCACCACGAAGATTTTTTAATTAGCATAATTTATGAACTAATAGAACCCAAATTAATGCAAAAATGCAAAAGATCTTACCTCTGATCACTCGAATGTATATTTTAAACTTCGTAGGTAAACAAGTTCATAAGCATAATAATTGAAAAAGCATTTAATATCGCATTATCTTATATTTAAACAATTGTCGGTACTATATTGCTTTGCTGACCTTTTCTAGTGAATGTTTCTTAGTGATATGTTTTTAATAACGACGCTATTCTCCTAATATTAACATTAAATAAACTCATAAGAAGTGGAATTTGCCTAGTCAGATTAGACGTTATTATATGACGTATAAAAAATATACGACCTTCATTCATAACTTCGAGCTAAAGCGCCCTCTGTGGAGTACGAGCGTAATCAATAACTTTTTCCGATATGGCAGTTGCCAACAAGAATAAGAGTTTGTAGATTTTGCTTTTCTTGTGATCCTCACATTTTGTAATCGCTGAAAATGACACAGGACTGAGCAAAAGTTATTTAAGAGTGAAAGTACAAAATATATAAAAGTTTTCCCTCAAACTCGACAAAAACGGGCGAAACCTATTCAAATTATACAAAATTCCATTGGCAATTAATGAAATGGTCAGTGATTAATCACGTACTGGTGATTCAATCGAGTTTTGGATCTGAAGAAAGTGTGTAGACTTTAATAAGACAGTGCAATTTAAAGTCATCAGCAAACATCAGGTAGGAACTGGTGACAGTGGAACTCTCATGTATATCATTAATATATATGTTGGAGAGACCCTTAAAGTACACACTAATGATATAGGACAGAAAACTGCCTAGTTTTCCTAAACCTAAAACAAAAAAAATCATTTACTATGAACGAAACTACCTAAAGTCAATCCGTCAAAAACACAGACATATGCTTTCCATTTAAATAATAAAGAAGCTTGCAAAAAGCCTAATGTTGTGTGATCAGATCAGGAATTAGGGCACTACCCAACCCCAAAATAACTTCATACTATAAAGATGAAACTCATATCAAAAAACATCCTGAAGTAAGTGACAGGCACAACTTGAGGTGCTCATCCACATGTCCTTCGCACTCAGCGCTTGCAGACTGCCAAGTTTCTCAGCGGATATAGTCTGCAAACACTCAACGCACGCCTCACAGGTATTTCGCAGGAATAGCTCCACCTACGATCACAAGAGCTGTAGCAGAGGCCGATAAAGGCAAACAAGTCAAAGACCGCTGTCTCCCCCTACATGATCATTTCTGACAACTCCGCTCGAATGAAGTCACACCGCAGCTTCTTTCGTCACATAAGAGAGAAATTTGAAACTTGTACGATCCACAACCTCTACTTAACCATTAGGAGGAACTACCCGCAGTATCAAACTTACCTTTCTCCAGGTGGAAACCTCTAAACCGGCTTCGAAGTGAACTCACCCACAAGTACAATCTGAAAAAGTAGGGCTACGCTGAAGATGATCTGTGTGACTGTGGAGCAATGAAAGCTCCCAATTTGATTGGAACTAAATAGAGCACGGAAGTACCAATGGAACTACATGACGAACTATACAGTATTTCAAAGTTATGAGCGAAGATCAAATACTTTTGGAATAAACCACCAAAAAAAGGAAAATAAATGATATTCGTTAACGTACAAGAAAAGTAAATAGTGTTTATATTATTTCATTCTATAAATTTTGTTTATTTAATGTAGAGTTTTTTATTGTGAACTATCTAGCTGTCTAATTTTTTGTATGCACTTAACATATAAATGCGACAAAACAATGTGTGTTAAATAACCATAGAAATGAACGTTAATAAATAAAAATAAATTATTTGTGAATAAATTGTTTAATTATAACGCTTGTCTTAATAATTTATTATGTACGAGGAGGGATCATTAAATTCTAGGATTTTTGAATTGTGCGGCAACGTCGCAACGGGCAGAATGGTTGGTATATTATATCGATGGGTTGGCAGCACCGTTTGAAGTGACAGTCCAAACTTACGTATTTTCCGATACTCGATTGCTTTCGTTCGTATTTTTGTTAGATTTCAACTGAAATAAGATTCAATAACATAATTTTTATTTGCATAATAGTTTTGCAACCAATAATTTCAGTGCAAGCATGTTTTAATTACTTCTGTAAATTTTAAATGCGATTTTTTGGCAACTATTGAGTAAAAAATGTGTTAATGTTTGGCTCAATAGAAAAAATTAAAGAAAACTAACTGAAGTAAGTAAAGAGCATTCCACAAAAACAGTGTATTCATTGCCAAGGATAGTACTTTGAAAGGTACAAACATTGATTGATTTATAATACTTTTCATGTATGTTTTTAGGTTTTAGTCCTGAAACTTTTGGATCACTCCTTGTATGTAGCAGGTAAAGCAAAATGTAGCAAAGGAATGTAGACATGAGATAGGAGTACCACTGCTAAATATTCATATTAGTCTATGATTCCCAAAATGTTCTTGAATGTTTCCTTACACAAATATGATTTGAAGAACTGTAATACCGTGGCAACATAATTGTTACATTTATTTTGATCCTAATATGAAGAATTGACCAAAGTACGAGGCAATATCGAAACGAGAGAGGAGTACCACTATAAATATTCATATTAACCCATAATTCCCAATTTTTTTTAATGTTTCCTTACACAAATGTGATTTGAAGGACTATAGTACCATGGCAACTTTTACCTTGATCCTAATATGAAGAATTGGCCAAAGCAGTAGTCAATATCGAAATAAGGGAAGAGTACTACTGCTAAATATTCATATTAGTCAAAGATTCTCTTATCTTTCTTTAATGTTTCTGTGCACAGATATAATTTGAAGTACTATAGTAATGTGGCATCTTATTGCATTTGATTGCATTTTAATTGAGCCTAATATCAAGAATTAACTAAGGCAAGCGTTATAATTTTTCTTTGGTAATTGTATTCTCGAAATCACAATAAGAGTACCTACAAATATGAACAATTTGTTAAAATAGGAGGCACTGGTTCACTCCAAACCTTGTTAATATTAAAATAAGGTTTACCTCTACAACTATTCTGATTTTTATCATCTTATGGATCGATGAGTCAGCATAACTTATACCATCCATCGGCCGACTTTATTCACTCGTAAATTGCAATTTAAAGTCGCAAATCTGTTTTTGATTTCATTATTTTCGACTTATACTTAAACCCAATAAACTCCTCACTTCGTGAGTCTGTCAGTACGCTGAGCCATCGAGTCCACTTCTACTACTACGTCCCATGGATAAAAAATACTTTTTTATGTTTACAACCAATTTGTTTCATAGTTATATATTTCAAATATATTTCTATACAGTCTTTGAAAAAATAGCTCTCTAATTTTTCTATTAAAACATCAAAAACTTTATTTTTAACTGTTACAAGAACAACCTACAATAAAATTTAAACCAGTCAACTCAAAAAACGTTGTTGAACATTGTTGTCATAAATTTTCGCCATTTTTAGTTTATGAATAAAGACATATAACACTTAATTGTATTAAAAACAACAAAACTTGTTATTTTTTAACAGAAACATTGCCTTAGCAAAAATAAATAAAACAAAAATAAATAAAATATATAACACTTAAGCCAAACTATGTCATATAATATGTACATTTGTATATTTCTACATTGTGAAATGTAATGATATGTACTTAAAAACTCAAATTTTTAACAATATATAAAATTGTTGCTATTGCTACTCAGTAGAATTACTAAATTCAATTGAAACTGCGTTCAGAATTTTAATAAATGTAGCAATTATGTTAAGCTATGTAAAAATTTAATTACAATATGTTTCTTAATATTTAACAGTACGTTAAATGATCAAATTCCATCAAAAGATATGTTTTCGAAAAAATAATTAAATTTCGTCACAAATTACAATTACTGGTAACAGTGGCAACGTCCATAATAAGCAGACAACCGCGCACTGTAACCGCTGAAGTTCAAAAAGTATATTTGGCCAAAATTCTGCCACATGCACGAAGCACCCATTATATTTGCCAGGTTTGGCACCCTGTGACTTCTACTTATTTTAAAAAACCAAATCCTGCTTGAAAGGAAATCGCTATGAGTCATTAGACGACATAAAATAAACATCGGCGCAGCTACTTAACAGCGTAGGGGACAATGATCTCCAGTACTGCTTTGCACAGTTGAAGATTTGCATGGAGTAATGAATGAATGTGAAAGGAGAGTATATTGAAAGAAAAAAAATTGTCGGAATCTCACATACGGAAAATACATCATAACTTGGAGCGACCAAAATTGTTGCTCTTAGCTGAGCACTTGGATGTCTTCAATTCAAAGTCAAAGACACGTTTTTCCAATCGCAAATGTTTTATTCACAGGCTAAAGTTAGTTCTAGTTCAATCGGTCACATTTAATATGGTTGCACAGTTTTTTTTTTCCAAACCTTGAACGCAACTACTGCTTTTTTGTTAATTTTCCAAAAAGACACATGCATTAGGACTCATCTTGTCGTTTGAAATTATGATGGAGATGCTGTTAAGACTGAGCACTTAGGATGATTTCAAATCAAGGTGAAGGACACGTTTTTATTCGTAAAATGCTTTGCTCACCGGTTAAATTTAGTTCTAGTTTAATAGGTCGCACTTGCTATGGTTTGCCAAATTTTTTTTGGAACCTTGAACGAACTGCTGATTGTTTCCAAATCTTTCAAAAGGACACATGCTTTAGGACCAAACTTGCCGCTCAAAGTTATGTTAAATTTACTTCTAGTTGATATGGTTTGCAAAGTTTTTTCCAAACCTTGAACGAAACTGCTGCTTTTTTCCAAATCTTTACATGCTTTAGAACCTAACTTGTCGCTAAAAGTTATGATAGAGTTGCTGTTACGGCTGGACACTTGGGATGACTTCAAATCAAGGATAAGGAGACTTTAAACTACAAAATGCTTTGCTCACCAGCTAAATTTACTTCTACTTCAATTGGTCGTACTTGATATGGCTATACGTAATCTGTAATATATTCACAAGGTAAGAAGCAATCACAATTGAAATATTAAGCTTAAACTAGTAGTGGCTGCTTCGTTTTGTAGTTCTTTCCTAGATTTAAACTCTTTCAACTCAAACGGAAATCACAAATTACAATCTTCTGTAAGGTATGTGTAAGAGATATTTCCCCTTTTAAATATATAATGAGGTTAACGTGTTATCAGATATTAAGAAATGCGGTATACTATAAGATTCATTTAAATTCTAAAAATACGGTCTAGTGTTGTGTGTTAAATACTAGAGAGGCACAAATTAAATAAATAATTCAAGAAAAAACACCTACAACATTATGTTTTTACTTACTAGGAAGTTTCTTTTAAACCTTAACTTAAATTATAAAACAAAATTGCCTACAATACTTATTTTTGCCGAATCTGTTGTATTCATATCTTCTACCACTTAGTGTGGGGATTTCAGCGTTACTAAAATCCGCTTCTTGGTTTTCACGGTTTTAAAATTGCAGAACAATATGTAAATCTATGTAACTGATTTGTTCAAATTTGAGCTTCTAAATACACTACTAAATCTACACTTAGAATCAAATTGTTGTGTTTACTTTAAAAATTATCTAAGAGTTTTTAAAGCCACACTCAATGCGGTCTTTTGAACAGATGATCTCCAGGATTGTTCTTCTTTGAAGGAGACGATTTTGGAGTGTACACCAGCTTCGGCGGACTCACGTGTCGCTCTTCCGAATTCCTTCCTTTGCTCAGAATGTCCCGTATGTGCTGTACTATCAACTCTATGGCGACTGAAAAACGAAACATATTAAATACGGCCTTAATATAAAAATAATTTGCACATTATCACGTTTAGTCTACAGTAACTGGCCAAATTATTAGTACAAGCATTCAAAATTTGCATTTTTTTAAATCAATATTTATCAACAGGTATATTATTTTTTCGCATAGCAACATTTAATATAGTATGGTAACATTATTGTACTATTTTAACGTTGGCAACACCGTCCTATCCTCCATTTTTAGACAAATTTGCGTCCTGTCAACTAGTGTGCATTTTATAACCTCAAATACTGTCTGTAGACATTTGAATTCTAAACGGATTTGACCGGAAATTTTATTGCACAGCTGACTGATTTATCCTTTTTGTTATTATTTTTTAGATTATAAACATATGCAGTGAAGTTATTGGTATAATTAAGGGTATTATACATTTTTAGATGGGGAAAAGGGCTGATCTGTCACCAAAACGAGTAGGCCAGGTATTTGGACTCCTAAAAGCTGGACATATGTCTCAAAATGAAATAACAGCAATGGCAGGAGTATCAAGAAGTTCTCTAAGGAATATAAAACAGAAAATTGCGGCTGGAGTGAGTTTGGAACCAAAGCGTAAGAGTCACAGCGGAAGACATCGTGTGGCTACTCCTAGGACTGATCTCAAAATAAGAGATATTTGTCTAGTAAACAGAAAGAAACTACTACGAATGCTTACCCAGGAGATAAGACATGAAGGAATTTGTATTTCAGAAAGAACTGTTAGTCGGAGACTTATCGAAAACAAACAGGTAGCTAGGACACCAGCTCGAAAGCCAAGGCTTACTCCGGCTGTGGTAAAGAAACGTTTCGAATGGGCACAAAAATACAAAAACTGGATAGTGGAAGACTGGAAAAAAATATATTTGTGTTGTTTTGCTTAAATATCAATATTAAAAACTAAAAAAACATGAGCATTTCTTAAAATTCTCTTGATTTCAGTTGTTTCTAGGACGAATCCGTTTTCCAAGTTTTGACAGAAAAAACGAAGTTTGTTCGGAGACGTCCCAACGATAAATACAAGCCCGACTACATTGTGCCCACCATCACTTATGGTCTGGTTTGTGGTATCCGACAAAGGTACAGGCCGTCTCTACGTGATGGAAAACACCACGTAGATGAGATGAGACGAAGAGACAAGACCAGTACAGGAAAGTACTCAAGACGAGACTTTTGCCACAGCTGCAGGAATGGTTTCTTTGGAGAAGAGGAAGTCATATTTATGTACGATGGTGCTCCTTGCCACAAGGCTATGAGTATTTTTAGCTTATTTAAAACAAAACAAAAATCAAAGTTCTTGACCGGCCAGGCAACTCGCCTGATATGAACGCTATTGAGAATGGGTGGGAACTACTCAAAAAGGAGATTGCAAAAAAAACATAACTAATAAAAGGGAGTTACTTGAAACGCTCAATCATAATCCTCACCTTCAGGAAACTATTCAATCCTGTATTGAGAGGCCTCGACGTGTTGAAGCTATTTTAGCAGCCAAAAGCGGACATACAAAATATTAAATTTATTCCTATTTTGTAAAAATTTTTATTATATTTAATATTATATAAAGGGGATAAGGATATCCCCTTTATTAATATATATTATTATAAAAGGATCGATATCAGCCAGTCTTTTGCTTTTTACTATACGCTTTTCTTGTTGCGCTGGCCTGTCGTCACTCCATGCCTTTAGATCAAGCATACCATGATAATCGCCGCCTACTGAGCCGACGACGTACTCGTTTATTTTTGCGGATTAGTAAATAAACGACGAAAGTATTGATAGTTCACTGGCAGTATAACCATCTCTCACTTATGCTATATCTCTTATGGTTCCACACAATACCAGACTAAAATCAAGCTCAACAGGGTCTTCCTTATACTCTAATCTTTGGAAGCTTCTTCTGTTGTTATCTTCATATGGTTTAGGTAAATAGTGGGTAATGACAGTGGTAATCTTCTTAATTTCGAAATTTAATGGGAAATAAAACGACAATGCAATTTTAAATATATTTACCAAATACATTTATCAATCTATACCATTAAATGTTAAACACGATATCCAAACATAGGTATCAATTATATAGGTATATCTACTTTACTCGACTGGTTTTAAGGTATCATCTCATCGCTTCCGGATCGCTGGATGACAGAGGAGGGTCTGGTTTAGCAGGTAGGCGTTCAGCGTAGACTCGGCGACGAGAGGGCATTTTAAAGTACCTCGGGAACTATCGCCGGGAGTACGAAGAACGAATCCTGCACTAAGGTCAGTCAGGCGGCGTCCTGGACTGAGATGTCTTTTGAAGATTCCAGACCCCCCCCTCTATAAAGACGAAAAAAAAAAAAAAAAAAAAAAAAAAAAAGGTATCATCTCATAATACTCATCATACAAAGAGTGTGATGAAAAGCAATACTATTCGAGTAACTTTGTATAGTCTCTATATGATAAAAGGAATTTGTATAATGATTTAAATAGTTTTGAAAAGGTTGAAAGACATGCTAATTTTAATCAGTAAATTAAAATGGCACAAGATTATAGGCCTTTTTTTATTAATATTAGACTTTATTCAACAAAAAATGCTGATGGAAGAGCTCATAGAAAAAATGACCAGTAAAATATATACAAAAAATTTAGAGAAATAACCTACACTCAGAAAAAAACTCTCTGAACTTCATGAGAAAATCAAATAGACAACATTTATGACTTATAATAAATTTTGACGATCTGACTAGACAATGACTAGAAACGAATTGATCGGAAGTAATGAATCGATATCAAGAACCGCTATTCCATGTCGCTACCTGTGACAGTGGCCAAGCCATTTTGTGGCGCTAGTTTCGTGACGCTCGCCTCAGTATTTTACTGTAGAGAAAAAACGTAATACAACGCCAGTATAGAAGCTTCGCTTCAATAATATTGTTTACTTGTGTTTTTGATCCTTGACAATCGTCATTTTGAGTTTTTTTTTCAGTTTTATATTATTTATAACTCGAAAACGATTAACTTACAAAGCTTACAACAGACAAGATCGAAAAATATATTGGTAAATTGTCACGACTACCAACGGGTAGGCTACTCCAATACAGAGGCTACCAACCTTAGCATTTGAGCAAAGTATCCAGGAGCAAAGAAGAAGGATTAAAGGACTGGACAAATTTTATTGGAATTGATAATAGGATTGGTAAAGATGTATCTACAGTACTTCGTGTTTGTACTGACTGGACCATCTAACTGTTCTAAGAACTACATGTCGTCAAAAGCATCTTTTAAAAGTAAATGTCCTGCGAGACTGATTTCCTGCCTCTAACTCTAGAGTAGTGGCCCAAAAAACAGTTCTTTTGACTAACACTCAACGATTACGTCTCGACTTACCTTTGACCAAAGACACTGCACCTTTTAAGCAAGACCTTTGTTTGTAGACCATCGGTTTTGTCTGTTTTGCAATGGCAGTGTTATGATGTTTACTATATCAGTGATACAGAAACAGTTCTTTTGGTTTGCATTATTACCAAAAGACTCTAAATGGAATAATTTTGATGTGATGCCAAAAACATGTCTAATAGAATCAGGAATAAAAAATTAGTCTCAATGATGGGTTTTGATTTTGCTTATGATCCGCCAATAGCTGTTACAATGTTTATCATCTCTCCATTGTGATTTATTCATACAACTTTTTATTGTAATCCCTTCTACAATATCGAAAACTCAGGAATACATTATCATTAACGTTACAACAATCCTAGTTGAACTAGTCACCCTGTATGAATTAAAATATATCTAGGTACCTTAAATCCAGTCAAATGACAATGACAGACCTAAACTATCACAATATTTAACTACATCAATATTTTATGTTTCTTTTATTTTATTACATATCTAATATAAAAAAGAGTTGTTGGACATGTAAAACTGTTAAAAAAAATTGACTGTTTGTGCAAAAAACGGCAGTCTTCATTTACCTTAGGAATCGTATTATTGATATTAGGAGGTAATGATGTGTGTGTTTCGATAGTGATTTTGGGACAAAAAAATCATAATTTAAACAATTTAATATATATTCCAGTTTTTTAGGAGTACACATCTGTCCGATAGAGACCTATGGAGTGAGTAACACCGAGACGCAAGCCACTATCTCTTGTCGTACTGCTCATCCATAGGTATATCCGAGACCAGCATATTCTCGTTTAAGGAGCATTCTATTTAGACTATACTGTTACGCTAGCCTTTTTGTTTTCTGACTAGGGTTTGAACAATAGATCCAATAGATCATTCACAGTGAGTAAATACTATTCATCCGCTTGGCAGCTTGACTGTCTGACCGACACAAACTCGAGTATCTTAAGAGGTTCTGTTGTGGACACACAATAATGTAGCGGTCCCGTGGAGAAAGCATTAAAAACTGGAAAAATGCAGTAGAATAAGGTTAGGAGTTTAAAAAATTAAATTATGCATACGACAAAGTAAAGATAACCCAATATAGAGAAGTTTTAAAGTATGAGTAGAAATCTAGGGAAAGAATACAACAAAATAGGAGCTAGAAAATAGGCAAGAAACGAATAAAGTATTACAGATGGAAATCAAGAGTAAAACTTATACTGTAGCGAAAAAATAAAACTATACTACGTTTATTTCCAAGATAAGCTCGAGAACACACCCAGCGGTGGGGGTGTCATGTGTCAAATTAACTTCTAACCAATGACAAGCTGCGATGAAACAGCACATCCACCGATAGGGCTGTTCGTGATCTTATCTTGGGAATGAATGAATGAAAAACATGAGATAAGGAAGTCATTGTTTTGATTTAGCAAAAAATAATAAATAAATAGAGAATTTGACAATGATAGAACGATGTCACCCATCTAAAAATGAACATAGCATTCAATCGAGCTAGTCATTTATATATATGAAGAAAACATATGGATAAACTCCATTTTTTCTGAGCAAGTCTCCGAAATTAAAAATACATTAAAACATTTACAAACAG